CAGACAGGAGTAGGGGCAGCCAGCAGCCACTAGAGATGCCAAGGAGGGACTGAGAGCTGCACAGGCAGGGGCCGTGGCTCCCTGGCTCCAGTGCCAGCCAGGCGGGGACCTCGCCATGGCCGCTGTCTTTCTCTTACAGAGCACAGGGTGGACGCTGCTTTCTGATTCCGTCTCAGAGTCCTTGGTGTAGGGTCGGGAGTCCCTGGGGCAGAGGTAGATTAGGGTGGCTGTCTTGGGTTTCAGGGAGGGTGATGGGAAGATGGTGACAGTAAGGGACTAGATGGACATCATTTTGAACCTCAGCGTTGCGCCCGGCTCAGTCTGTGGCCCATGTGAGGCAGTGCTCAATGCTGAATACCCACGCAACGGGTTTGGCCGCAAAAAGCCCTGGGTCCTGAATCCTACTTAGCAACCACGTTGGTCAGAGGAAGGCACTGAGGGCCAGTGACAGCGACCTCCGCCCTGATGGATGCAAACTCAAAGAGTCCTTTAAGGCGTGCTGCCCCAGCCATGGACCCAAAGCAGACACCAATCCTGAAGGGAAGGGCATTCCACAAAATGCACCCTGGTAGTGGGAGGGAAGGGAAGGGCTGGAACTAAGGATGGAGGACAAGGTGCACACAGCCGGATCCCAGCCTCCCAGATCCCGCTGTGAACCCTCTGCGACTCCACTCTGTTTCTGTACTGGGCTGAAAGTCCCAGACCAGGGAGGCCAGCAGTTAGTGGTCCGTTAGCCTGATGCTACACTTTCCTCTGATCAGCATGTTTTTCATCCTTGATAGGCTTATAATTAGGACAGCTGCAAAAAAAAAAAAGTTATGTGGAATGAGCCACCTTACTGGCAATTGCACAGATAAGCAAGCAGGGGTGCTGGTGTTGCAGGTGGCAGCTCTGCATGCTACGCCGCCACGCTGACCCCTTGTGTTCCAACTTCTGGTCTCTGGCTCCAGCTCCTGACATGCGTACAGCTGCATTGTGCGTGCCGCGCTCAGGGTAACCATGGATGCAGTGTGTCCCTGAGTCACACCCGAGGACTGGGAACCCCCAGTGGATAACCCAGGCAGCCTGGAAGCTGTACTTACAACTGGCATTGTTTTGGGTGACTGAGACCTTCTCTCTGGAGGAGAAACTGCCCTGCCCACACTTTGTCCTTTTCTAAAATGGCTCACAACACACTGGCACATGTTTGCTTGCACGAATCCAGCAAGGTGCCAGGCCAGGAGTGGCAGAAGAGCACAGAGCAGCCTGGTCTGCTCTGGGTGGGGCCACCGCCCTTCCTGGTGACTCCACCTGTTCCCTGGTCGCCAGGCTCTATGGCCCTTGCTCTGTGGGGCTTTCCGGAGTTTTATTTACTTACTTATTTATTTTTAAAGATTTATTTATTTTTATTGGAAAGTCAGATAAACAGAGGAGAAACAGAAATATCTTCCATTTGCTGATTCACTCCCCAAGTAGCTGCAACGGCCACAGCTGAGCCGATCTAAAGCCAGAGCCAAGAGCTTCTTTCACGTCTCCCATGCGGGTGCAGAGTCCCAAGGCTTCGGGCTGTCCTCGACTGCTTTCCCAGGCCACAAGCAGGGAGTTGTATGGAAAGCAGCGCTGCTGGGACATGAACCAGTGCCCATATGGGATCCTGGTGCATGCAAGGCAAGGACTTTGGCCACTAAGCTACTGTGCCAGACCCCCGGAGCTTCACTGATTGTACCTTTGGCACTATATGATGAGTTATGTGCCCCGCCCCTCTCCCTCCTACCACAGGCTGGCTCCCCAAGGCAGTCCCACCCACCAGAGGCTGAGGTCACCTCGCTCCCTTGAGCTCTGGGGTGGGTGAGAGGCCTGGTTAGGGCTCTTGGGGACAGCCGCCCAGCTTCTCTACTGTCAGGAAATGCCCAAGGCATACACGCTATGAACTTGTCTTTAGGAATACAGTACAGAGTGGCCTTGGCCTTAGAAGATGGGCTTTGAATTGTTATGAGTAATCTGTGCCTGGCAGCTGCGGGGGTCCAGAACACACCAGCCCAAATGCTGAGCTGCAGGCACGAAGCACGGAGCACGAAGCAGGTGCAGCAAGCTCTCTGCTTCCCCTGCGAGGGCTCTGCAAGCAGTGTGTGGAAGATGCCTATTAGTAAAGCCCTATGCGTGGGCTTCAATTTTGTCTTTGGATCACAATAAACTTCTTATTAAATTGCATTTTCCATGACCTTTAAGAAGTGGCCCTGTCTCTAAAAGCAGCATGTGGAGATGAATATTTGGAGCCGCAGTTAAGACACTGCCTGGGATGCTTGTGTCCCACGTGGGAGTGCCTGGTCACGTGCACCCTGGGAGGCAGCAGGTGGCGGCTCCAGTGCTGGGCCCTGCCGCCCACAGGGGAGCCCGGGATGGAGCTCCTGGCTTTGGCCTGGCTATGTGAGCATCTGGAGACTGACCCAGCCGTTGGAAGATCCGTCTCTTGTGTCTTTTGCAACCAAAATTTAAATACATCAATAATAATTTTTTAAATTTTAAAGTTTTATTTGAAAGACAGATTTTACAGAGGAGAGATAGAGAGAAAGGTCTTTCATCCACCGGTTTGCTCCCCAAAAGGCCTCAGTGGCCAGAGCTGAGCTGATCTGAAACCAGGAGCCAGGAGCTAGGAGCTTCTTCTGGGTCTCCCACATGGGTACAGGGGCCCACACACTGGAGCCCTCTTCTGCTGATTTTCTAAGCTATCAGCAAAGAGCTGGACTGAAAGTGGAGCCAGGACATGAACCAACAGCCATATGGGATACCAGCACCACTGAGATGAGGATTGGTGTGCTATGCCACCATGCCAGCACCTACATCAATAATATTCGAAGAGACAGGGTTTAGGTAAGTAAAAGTAAATGGCATACACCCCAGTTTTGGAAGGGCACGGGTTAACCACAGCAGACACAGCTGGACCCTTTGGGCCCAAGACCACACCAGGGGCAACTGCACAAGCAAGCTTTGCCAGTTATCCTGTGTCACCGCTCTTTGCCTTTCCACAAGTCATCCAATCCAGCACGAGGAGGTTTTTTCACTTTCACCTGCTTCTTCTTAACCACCTGCAGCTCAAAGCAATCTTCATACCAAGAGCCATAATCAGGGTGGCATCATCTGCTCACCTCCAATACGGATGCCCCGACTGGGAGCTGGGTGCTTCACTGTGTGCCTTCATGCACATTTGCTGTATTGAAGCGCTAGCTCAACATTAAAGCCTCTTGGAACCTTGTTCTCTGTTGTTTCCCACCAGGAAAGTGTCTGACTGTACCAACATGGCAGCCACAAGGCCACAGGTTATCCGGAAGGGGAGAGGCCAGGAGGCTGGTGATGCCTTGCAAAGGTAACCGCAGAGTTGGTCCCTGGGGAAGGGCTGGTTGGACACACTGCTGCAGGAAAGGGCAGAGCTGGGCTCCAGCAGCCAATCCTCTCACGGGGCTCTATTGTGCATGGGAAATCACAGTTTTCATGGGGGCAAAATGCTCCAGGGAGCTAGCCTCAACATCTGGAGGGCAGACGAGGAGGTGGCCAGGTGCATGGCACCAGGGAGGCTCTGGACCTCCACCTCACTGGGCACCAGGCAGCCAAGGACCTGGGGTTTTGGGTTTGCATGTCACTTAAAGAAGCTTGCTTGCTTTCCTATTGCTTTTTAAAATTCTTTCTGGATTCAACCATTTAAGAGATGTGGCAGACAGAATAGTTGCCTGGCAAACACCTTTGCCCACAAGTTGCTGCCTCCTTTTCCAACACCAACGAACTTCAAAAAAATCAAAGATTTTTTTTTTTTGCCTTTTTTAAAGGCAGATTTACAGAGAGAAGCATCAGAGAGAGAGAGGGAGGGAGAGAGATCTTTTATCCATTCGTTCACTCTCCAAATGGCCACATTGGCCAGAGCTGAACCAATCCAAAGCCAAGAGCCAGGAACTTCTGGGTCGCCCATGTGGGTGCAAGGACCCAAGCATTTGGGCATTTGAGTCACCCTCTGCCGCTTTCCCAGGCCATTAGCAGGAAGCTGAGTCAAAAGTGGAGCAGCTGGGACATGAACCAGTGCCTATATGGGTTGGTGGTACTTGTAGGTGGTAGATTAGTCAGTTGAGCCATTGCACCGGCCCCAATATCAGTGAATTTTGTAACTAAGCATCTTATGTCAAGTTCACTCTTTTACTTTCTTCTACCACACTGAACAGGCCCACAGTGTCTGTGCCCACCACAGTGCTCTGCCAATCCCAAAGAGATGTCATGGTTCTTTGGGGCATAACTTAGGTTGATGGGCACAGTACTTCTCATTTTTAAAAGAAGTGGCATGGTAGAGGGATGGTGTGAAAGGAATGGTCAGTACAGAAGCTCACTTGTTTTTATTATTATTATTATTATTATATTTTTTTTATTGGAGAGGAGGAGAGAGAGGAAGATCTTCCGTCCGATGGTTCACTCTCCAAGTGAGCACAATGGCTGGAGCTGAGCCAATCTGAAGCCAGGAGCCAGGAGCTCTTCCAGGTCTCCCACATGGGTACAGGGTCCCAAGGATTTGGGCCGTCCTCAACTGCTGTCCCAGGCCACAAGCAGGGAGCTGGATGGGAAGTGGAGCTGCCGGAATTAGAACCGGCACCCAGAAGCTCACCTGTTAATATCAGCAAATGAATGAGTCATTGCCATTGCCCACCATGTACCCATGAGTCAGCAAGTGCAGCAGCACCAGCCTCCAGCGTGTAGTCAGAGCTTGGCAGCTTCTAGGCACAGCAGCTCCTACCACAGCTGGGTAACTCCCAAGGGACGGCAGCTTATTGTGGCTCATGGTTTTGGAGGTTCTCAGTCCAATATGGGGCATCCACTTGGGTCTGATATGGGCGGAGTGTGGTGTGCAAAGTCAGGGACAGAAAGACAACAGTGGGTCCAGCCATCTGGAGATCCACCTCCTAGGGCCATGCCCCCAGTGACTGAAGGACCTCCCGCTGGACCTACCTTCCACCGCCCGTACCTTCAACCCTCCAGCCGTTAACATGAGTCCCTGCACCGAGGACCCCATCTCGGACACACAGGCCTGTGAGGTACGGAGGGGGAGGGCACCCAAACTCATCCCAACAAGAGTAGTACGTGTTTGTGGAGTGCAGGACAGGAACTGTATGTGTAGAATCCCATAGGACTCGATTGGCTGCCTAACATGGGATGCACCAAGACAGAGATGCTTGCAATTGAGATGATTGGTTTAATCACGAGGGTGTGGCCCAGGGATTAAGACACACCCTGATGCTTAAGCCCCACCTTAGCATATCTGGCCCCTGCTCCCTGTCCAGCTTCCTGCCAATGCCCACCCTGAAAGGCGGCAGACGATGGCTCGAGTACTAGGATCCCTGCCACTTGCTTGGGAAACCCAGATTGGATTCAGGGCTTTAGGCTTCGGTCCTGATCCAGCCCTGCCCGTTGTTGGCATCTGGAGAATGGCAATTAAGCCAATCATTTTAAAAAGGGAGAAACACTTGCAGCCACGCTTCCGTTAGTTGCCAGCCACCCTGGACAACAAGCGCCACACTGGCTGCCATCACAGTTGTTGGTGGCATTGTCAGCTCCTGGTGGCATGGTTGATCTCTGGAGCTGCTTGCCCCGCAACTGTCTCTCTGTCCCCACGCATCTCAGGACACGAAGACGAGGACAGTGTGAGGCCTCCCTTGACCTTGCTTTCATCGCACTCGTTTTGCGCTTCAAATCCTGAGGGACTTGCAGCCTCGTGAGCACGGTTCCTTCTGCTCCCTAACTGGTCCTTGGGCCTCAATGCATTGAGTCAAGGGTATCCTCGGCCCTCCTGACATGTCAGGGGCTGGGGGCTGGGTCCCTTTGTCTCAGGCTTCCTTTTGGGTAGGACTGGGTCTCTTCTGTCTGAGGGCTCAAGCCAAGCTGACCAGGGACGGAGGAGAATATGGAATTACTTACCTTGATGTTTTCAGTGCCCAACACCCTGGTAGCAAGGTCCGACCCCTGCAGGGTGTCTTATCCAACATGTCCCCTCCTCCCTCCAGCTCTCCCCCAACGACCCTATACTCTTCTTCCCATTCCAGATCTCTTCCTCCTTTGGTCCCGGGGCTCCCAACCTGGAGTTTGGGGACTTTCTGGGGTACTTTTCTCAGGGTGGTACAGGTGGACTGTTCAAGGTTGGGAATGGCAAGCAGGTCGCAAGGCCACGGGCACCTGGTGTACTGGGAGCTGAAGGTCCGTCTCCATCACACTCCTCAACAGGGACAAGGACACACTGGACGATGATGAGTTCGCTGCTGACTTTGCTGCTAAGTTCGCTGATGAGATGAAGTTTTTGAAAGAGTTTCCCAGGTGGAAACGAGCTGAAGAAGATAAAATTATGATTCTCCATGCCATTGCCAATGACCTTGACGCCACCCACAAAACAGTCAACAAGATCGGCGTGGTGGCCAACTCTGTAGCTGTCATCTCTGGGGCCATGAGTATCCTGGGATTTGTCCTTGCTCCGGTAACAGCAGGTGGAAGCCTGGCACTCTCAGTAGCTAGCCAGGGGCTGGGCACAGTAGCAGGGGTCACCAGCATTGTGACCAGCATGCGGGAACATTTTAAGAATAAACGAGCCCATACCCTTGCCAGCAGCTTGCTGCCCACTGGTCACCTGAAGGCCCCAGAATTCTCCTACCTGGCAGGGGCTGGTGAGATTGCCAGTAAGTGTGGAAATGCTGCCTTGGCTATGAAGAAGGACATCCAAGCTTTTCAGAGGGCCAAAGAAAACCCACACTTGGCCAAGGCTGCCAAGAAACTCCTGACCAACGGCCAAGTCTCATCCCTAACGAGCAGGCAGGTAGAGAAGGTCTTTAAGGACACAACGCTGGCAATGTCCAGAAAGACTCTCATGGGAGGGGCCATGGCCATCTTTAACCTTTACTGTGATGTGGATTCACTCTTGAAGAACAGGAAGCAACTGGAGGGTGAGGGAGATGGGACAGAACTGGCGAAAGAGCTGAGGACCCTGGCATCGAGGCTGGAGAGGAGACTGATGAATTTCAGCCAGCGCCACCAGAGGTTACAACAGGTGAGGCCGGAGTGAGAGTGGGGAGGTGTCAAGTGGGTCATGATTTACCAGAAGGGGTGAAAGGAGCGTGTGTATGCACGCATTGTACACATGTGTTCATATGCACATGGATGAGTGTGTGCACACACGTGAAACTTGCAGATACATCTCTGGGGACCTGGGTGGGTAGTGGCCCTACAGCTCAGACAGCAGCAGGTTCACTTGAGAGACGAGGCACCTGTCGAGACGAGAAAGACCTTGGGTTCACCTTGGGAGACGAGGAAGAACAGATGATGCTTTCTGATCCCTCTGGAGGCACCTTAAGGCCCACCAATCAAGAAAAGGACCCAGAACTGGTGGGAGAGTTCCGGCCTGCGCAGTGTCCCCTGGGCGAGGTCAGAGACTGAAGCCCTGAGCCCCAAGGCGAGCACATTTGGAGAAGGGAGGGGTTCGTGGGGGCAGGTAATTAGGGTCGAATGAGCTCATGGGTGGTACCAAGATCTGGAGAGACCCCAGTGCCCTTACAGGAGGGGCAGGAAGTGAGAACAGCTTCCTGCCCACCCCAGAAAGTTTGTGTGGGGTCACAGTGAGAAGACAAGAGAAAACGCCCTTCTCAGGAATCAGGTGGGGCAGCACCTTAGCCGGGCGTGCCAGGCTGGGAGAAAGCACGTGTTTAAGGCCCAGTCCAAGGCACACTGTTGCAGCCATCCAGGGGGGTTAAGGAAAGGGCGCAGCGCTGCTGTCACTCGCTCATCAGTTGGGCGCTGTGACAGGTAAGTCACAGAAGGGCCTGCTCCCCCTGCTGGCCGCTGGCGTGGTTTGCAGTGCCAAACCAGCAGCTCCGTTCTGCACCCTGCATCCTCTCAGGGAACACACAAGCTCCAGGACCTGTATCTTGGATGTAGGTTCCGCCCCTGCGGCCTGTGACGTCCCAGAGGCCCCGCTGTCAGTGCTGTCATACTGACGGAGAGGACTTGGACGCAGAGTTTGCTGGGTGGGGACGCAGAGACCACTCTGGCCCGGGGAAACTGAAGGTGCCCTGGAAGCCCCGCCCCCGGCCGGCTGGGGCCTTCATCTCCCCGCCAGACTGCACCTGCAAACTTCCTCTGATGGAGGTCCAGATTTGTGTGTGTGGTTCACAGATTTACTACGTACTATCTAGCACATAGTCACTGCAATGTATTTTCTTTTATGTATATATGTATAGAAACTTGTACAAAAAAGAAGACCTCTGAACTCATCTAAGAAGGAAGCAGCGGAGACCCGGCGTCAGCATGCATGGGAAGGCCCAGACAAAGGCAAGCTGAGCCCTGAGGGACCCTGGGTGGGGACCAGCCAGGCCAGCAGAGCAGGTGCTGGAAATGTATCAGGTGGCAGGCTCAAGGAGGTTCCTGGAACCTGGGATGGAACCGTCCATCTAAGAGGGTCCTGGCAGCCCTCCACCCACCCCCACCCCCTGCTGAGGCTTACCAAGGTCAACCTGCCCGCAGCTCGTCCCTGTCACCTGCCCGTGTGCACACAGCCCTATGTCAGACCACCTGCACAATTGCTTCCCATCTGCCCGCCTCCATACCCAGAGCCAGACAAGGGAGAGGAAGGCCAGACTCCCTTTCTCCTCCCCCTGCCAACCTGGGCAAGGCCATTTGAGTCCTCTCTCTGCACTCACCTTCTGGTTGCTTCTCTGTGCCCTTCCGCCCTGACAGTAAGTGCTGGCCTGGATCTGGAGCTTGCCGAACAAAACAATGTCACCCACTTGGCCGGATTTTAGAGAAGAAAGTGAATTGGAGCTGCACCTCCATGAGCACTCTAAGGCCCCGTCCGAGCCTTGCACAGTATCTGCTGGTTCTCCATCCTCTGCTGTCACCACTGCGACACAGCCAATGGCTCAAGTGCTTGAGTCTCTACCACCCACCTCGGAGACCTGCACTGAGTTCCGGGCTCCGGCTTTGACCTGGTGCCACCCAGGCTCTACCAGGCATTGGCGGAGTGAGCCAGCAGAAGGGAGAGCGCGGTTCATCTCACACACTCTCTCCACCTTTCAAATAAAAGAAACACACACAATAGGATATACAAATAATAGGTTCTGGCTGTAACCACAGCAAATGCTTCTTCCCTTCACATTTTAACTATCAGAAATGACCTGCCAATCATGTGACTCCCTGGGCCAGGGAAATGTGTCGGTTTCAATGTCATTTCCTGAAGATACTGTTAATTCTCTACTTGCAGGACACTTGGTCTTCTAGGCTGGGTCTGCACTGCTTGGATGAAGCCTGTTTGTATAATCAAAGATGAAAACATGTACCTTCATTCTACTGGAAATTCCTCCACAATAAAAAAAACCTCTATGCATATTAGGGAGTGCCATGGCACTGTGGTCATTTGCAGTTACAGACCAGTTTTGTTCATAAACAAACACTGCTTGACACATTGGCACAGTTCAAAATAGGCAGGGAAGGCCTGATTGGGGGCTTCCAGCCCGTTAGCGGGAGGTGACAACTGTCGCGCCTCAGTAGGGATTTAAACTTCAAGTAATGATGCGGAACCAGAGCTGAAACAACAGCTCCGTCGGCCTTGGCCAGGCTTCCTAGCTCTGGAAGCTTCCTCAGTTTGAGCCCATTCTATGGCAAACCAAGTTTCCTTATCGAACTGTGCAGACGGTGTTTGCTCTACTGGCCGTCTCTAAGGGGGAACTCGGTCTGTTACACTGCTGTGCTGTCTGTCCTCCCTTCTCAGCTTTGTACGCCTTTGCCTGTACTGTGCAACCCCCAGCAGGGTGAAGCTGGCCCAGCTCCCAGCTGCGAGGTGACACCATTGTTTTCAGCAATGGACTCCAGGTGAACTTGGCCCAAGGACTGCCCCACTCCTTTTGAATCAATCGTGGTAGCATGGAACAAGAAGAACCCAGCTAAAGGGTGACTGATCCACGGGCGGGGATACAGAAGCGAAGAGGAAGCTGCTGAGATTGGCTAAGCTAGAACCTAAGGCTGAGAGGCTGTGGGCAAAGGGTTCCGCGGCTGACAGTGGCTCTCACAATGGACTGCCCGGGTTGCCACCTTTCCAGAGGCCGCCAGCGCAGAACATCTACCTAAATCACCATGATGCCCAAAGTCCCTCCCTGCCCTGAGCTTGTCAGACCCGGGAGAGCTCTCTGAGTCCGGACATTGTCACCCAGGGCTCCAAGTTGTCTGAGAACAGCTGCCAGCTCTGTGAGTTGCCACGGGAAGACAGCGCGTGGTCATTCACGGTCAGCCCTCTCACTGTGCTGCCCCCTTGCTGTGTGGCCGTGGGAGAAATACGAAGCCATGTCGTCTGACAACCCGAAGGAGCACGCCTCTAAAGCTCATGCTGCCTGTAATGCTTTGCTTGCAGACCCTTCTGCGCGAGCGTCTACCCTGACTCCAGGCGTCTCTGTACTGTGTGTTCTCTGGGTCACTTAACAGGGAAGAGGATTGTTCCCGCGGAATAGTGAAGTTTTCCTGCTGGGGAAGGCGACCTTTGGAAGCCAAATGGCTTCAGAACCCTGGGTTCTCACTGAGATAGGATGTGGTGGGGACAGCCCCAATAGGTCTGGGCACATGCTCCTAGCTCTCCAAAATATGTTCACCCAGCCAAGCCCTTGTTGCTACTGCGGGCGGGGGCTGGGTTAGGGCTTAGGAGATCCTAGCGGGTCATTGTGCTGGAACCACTTCAAGAAGGATGTTCTGGTCTCAGGATCAACCCAGACCAAAATCAGGGGAGAACGAGTCCACCTCTCCCCTAAAGCAATATCATGTAGACCTGTGGTGTCCAATGTGGCGACACCAGCTGGACAGCTAGTGAGCACCGGTGTGTGGCTCGCACAAACTGAGATGAGATGTAAGTCAGAACACACTATGGGCTTCAAAGAAGGTACGGGAGATACAGTTGAAACAGTTCTGTGAATAATCTTCATAAACATTGTAATTGATCACATTTTAAAATAATATTTTCAACATTTGGAATTCAGTAAAACACACTATTAAAAGGAAATTCATGGGTCTGGTGCAATGAGTCAGTGGCTAAATCCTTATCTTGCAAGCACTGGAATCCCATAAGGGCATTGGTTCGTGTCCTGGCACTCCACTTCCCATCCAGCTGCCTGCTTGTGGCCTGGGAAAGCAGTAGAAGATGGCCTAAAACCTTGGGGACCCTGTACCTGTGTGGGAGACCTGGAAGGGGTTCCGGTCTTAAGCGGAAGCACAGCGCTCTCCACGATGGCTCCGCGTATTCACACCGCAGAAGGGAGGAGAGACTGGGGGCGGGTGGGGCGGTGGGCGAGGAGCTGCCGTTAACGTCCCACTGCTCCCTCCCCCCGCACTGCACTTGAACTACAAGCTCAGCCAGGCACCTGGGACCCAGAAGGAGGCTGCGTGACCTGCTCTGCATTGCCAGCGCAGGCTGGCTGGAGCTGGACGCAGGAACTGACGTGTGTGGCTCCTCTTCCGAAAGGAATGCGATCATAGTTTATATGTGGGATAAGAACAGTCTATACAGTTCTGTTTCTGTGACTTTGCTTATTCAAGAAGGAGAGACAGACAGCCTGCGCATGTGCCAACGGTGTGGGGGGACAGGGCATAGGGTTTGATGTGCTGGCCACTTGTCCTCGTTGCCCACTGCCACCTCGTTGTCCTCATTGTCACCTGCCCTCAGTCTAGAGGTGTTCTGGCTTTGAAGCTTGGTCCTCTGCACAGCAAACACTTGCTGCAGTCTCTATTGCTGCAGGATGTGCCAAACAGATGCACACCCCACTGGAGTCCCAAGATCCATCTAGAATTGGCATAGGGCACAATGGTGGCAACTCCGTCCTGCTTGCCAAGCCAGCGTCCCAGGAGGCTCTGGTTTAGCGGTGTGTCCAGGACTGGTGTCCTGCGTCCACTGGTGGTGCTGGTGTTGTCTCCTAGGCTGCCAGTGGTTTGAGTGTGGGTGTGCGTTGTGTTTAGCCCTGCATCCTCTGAAGTTTTGACCCTCCCACCTGCTTGGCCCTGCTCCCTAGATAAACTTAAGCCGATGCATCACCA